CCCAGGGATCATTTATAGAGAGGCATTATCTTTTGATTTTATCATGACAGCAATTTCAGAAATAGAGAGATGCTCCTGAAAAACATCAATATCATCTAACAACTTAGGAATCAAAACTTTCTTTGAGTCTTAAGATAAAACCATGAAAACTATAACTATTATATTCAGCTTGAGTTTTAAAGCATAGAAGAAAAAGTGATTTAAGGAGCTGGACATCTAAGGGTAAAATTAGCATCGAATACAAACCAAAATATTATTCCAGTAAATTGGTCATAACAGACAAATTGCTGGAAAGAAGAATTAGGAGGAAGATTATCTCTTGTTCAGAAATTGTATGGTGGAGTTTTCACATGGCACAGTTTCTCTGCCTCTACTGTCAGTCTCTGAGGAGAAGGGAAAGCCAGGTAGATGAGACAGCAGATGGGGGAAAAACAGAGCATCATCTACCAAAGCAACACCTCTCATGACAGCAGGGAGCTGCTGGTGGAATTTTCTGCCAAGCTGCTGTTAAAAGCTGAAGAACCAAAATGTGTCTCCAACAGATAAAATAGTTAAAACAAAGATCATCTAGGTTTGTGGTGAGTATATGTAAAGACAGCTAGAACTTCTGGTCAGTATCTCTGAGTTGACATGGAAATCTCCTTTCCTACCTCAAACACGTAGAAATGCTGGACAAACTATAACACAACTACACACACACACACACACACACACACACACACTGCCCCAGTGTCAAAAATAAAGATGGAACCTAAAGTCAGAGCAGTCAGAGAGAGCTGAAGAAAAAGGACTTGAGGAAAACTGGGACCCAGAATAGGTCTGCATAGCGGTGGCCGGGCCTTTAACATTTGTCATGGGACCTGTGCTCACAGGAGCTGGAATCAAGCTACTTAAAAATAGCACAAACTCACATAGGACTTGTCCAGACACAAAATCGGGACTAGATACACCATAATCACTCTCTGCAAAAGTTCCAGGGAGACCAGAGAAGAAAACGGATCAAGTGCAGAACCCCAGACCAGTGCTGTGCACTAGCCCTAAATCAGATGCACTCTAGGCTCACGGCATAGTGTTCCAAGTCTAGAAATTGATACGAAAATTATTCCCAGGCCAAAGGGTAAAGTGCATATGACCCTCAACAGAGACACACATAAGAGCCACCTGTAGAGATGCTCTTGCTAGCAGGTCACAGTTCATGAAGAGAAGCATAATTCATAAGAAACAGTTTGATAACCTTGATTACTTGATCATTTTAAATTTCCGTGACACTATAGATACTATAGGCAAAATTATAAGGCAAACCACCAATGGGTGAAAATACATGCAACCCATATAGCTATAAAAAGAAATAGAATCTAGAATTTATAAAGAGCTTTTACATATTAATTTTAAAAATGGATTTTAAAAGTATGAAGAAGTGAGTTACAGAGAAAGAAAACTCTCCAGTAAACATGAAAGATTTTCAACCTCACAAATGATCATGGAAATACAAATTAAAATATTGATAAGATACTTTTCAAATTTACCAGATTGACAAAAGTCAAAAAGCAAAGTTGTAGTATTTTATAAACCACCCCCCAAAATCTTATAAAGTTGAAAGTATATGAATCTACAACATAGTTATTCCCCTTCTAGGTGCACCCTAGTGAAAGCCTGAATACATGCATCAGTACAAGCTGGCTGCTGCAGCACAGCCTATAAGAACAAAACGTTGGAAACTTAAATATCAACCACCAAAGAGAATGGATAAACACTAGCTCACTTCTACTATGGAACACTGTAGCAATTAAAAGGCTGGGCGTGGTGGTTCACGCCTGTTATCCCAGCACTTTGGGAAGCTGAGGCAGGCAGATCATCTGAGGTTGGGAGTTCGAGACCAGCCTGATCAACATGGTGAATCCCCGTCTCTACTAAAAACACAAAAATTAGCCAGGTATAGTGGCAGGCGCCTCAAATCCCAGCTACTCAGGAGGCTGAGGCAACAGAATCTCTTGAATCCTGGAGGCAGAAGTTGCAGTGAGCCGAGATCACACCATTGTACTCTAGCCTGGGCGACAGAGCGAGACACCATCTCAAAAAAAAAAAAAAAAGGAGTGAACTAGGCCTATGTGTATTACTAACACAGGTGGTTTTTTTTTTTTTTTTAATTTTACTTTAAGTTCTGGGATACATGTGCAGGACCTGCAGGTTTGTTACATAGGTATACGTGTGCCATGGTGGTTTGCTGCACCCATCAACCCCTCATCTAGGTTTTAAGCCCTGCATACATTAGGTATTTGTCCTAATGCTCTCCCTCCCCCACACAGACATATTTTTAAAACACTGCAGAATGACACAGCATGATAGTGTTCATGAAAAAATTAAAGTCACAAATTACATGTCAAAATATCTTAAAATCTATATATGGCCTGGAAAGATAGAAGTAAAATTCCTGATCATGATTGTCTCTGTGTAGGAAAGAAGGGAAATGGTACTGAGGAAGGTCTCAAAAGAGGATTTCAACTTTATCTGTAATATTCTCTCCTTTATTTAAATTTTAAAACTCTGAAACAAAATGAAAAATGTTAACATTTTAATGCTAGCCAATGTGTGCTAATGTCTATAACATATCAATCTCTACTTTAAAAATAATTTTCTAAATGAAAAAGTATGTTTTAAATAAAATAAGTCATATGCCTTGGTCCTACACAATTGCTAGGGTTTGACCACAAATTTGGCTTAGTTTCCCAAAACATTGTAATGTCCTCTATACTCTATATAAATAGGACAACAAATTTGATAGGGCACTTCTTATAATATCTTTTATTATAAAGGGCAGGACACTTTACACATGTAACATCCTGCATGAAGCTTAGCAAAATGCAACTAGGGACGAAAAAATGCATTCTAGGCATGGAGGTTTTCATGTTTTTTCAACATGTGCTACTTTAATGCTCATAGGTATAGATCTCATCTTGCATTCTAAGATGAGGAGAGGATATTTAATTTACACACATAACTAATGATACTGAAATTCTCCTCAGCCTTCATCTTTTCAGGCCTAAGTGTCCTTGTTTTAAGCTGCATTTAGGTTAGCCCTTTGGGTGCCTAAGCCATCAAAACAGCTTAATTCTTCCTTCCGTTACTCTGTTTGGTTTTCGTTGTAGTGTTTATGAGGCAATTGTCAGCCCCATCTGCAAGCTCAGGAAGCTCTCTCTCTCATCTTTTAAATGCCTTTCTCTCACTTCCAGAAATCTTACAAACTAGTGATGTCTCCCCATCCTCTCCTGTGTAGCCATGCCAGTTCTCAACCCAAACTGAACTCGCACAATTAATTGTACCAACTCCATTCTCAATACTTGAGTTATTTGATTTAAATGGCTTTACCTGTCTTTGTAAACCCCCAGTAAATGAAACTGTTTCCAAATCTTTTCATATGACATTTAAGTTGACACCGCATGCAAACAAGTGCCTACAAATATAATACCTTTTGTGGTCATGCTAATTCACAGTGAGAAAATGCTTCGAGGGCCCAGGTAGAGGGATATGCTTTTCACATGCTGTACTTCCATATCAGTAAATAATTGGTAAGTTCCCCCACTCCAGAGATACATAGCTCACTTACATTATTTGAAACATGATCAATACTTATGAGTTTTGGAGGTACATGTAATTATTCCCTTTAATCATCAACTCTCTTGATAGGAACTTGATAAAACCACCCTATTTACTTCCTTAGAAGCAGAAATCAAATTCATTTTTGAATTAAAATAAGCACTGTGAAGTCTATCTTCTTAGCAGCTGACTTTGTCAAATGATCATATAACTTCTATGTATGCTGTTTTCCACACATGCTGCCTCTACACCAATTTGCTGATTTAAAGTCACAAAACAAATCAATAACAATGACAACTGAAGTCTAATAAAATGTGGAAAAACTGGCTTATAGCTTTAAGATACATAGTTCCTTTACCCCTACATATTCAACTTGGAAGGAACAACTTCTAGGCATGAGTTTCTTTGACTTAGTTGGTTCACATAGTGCAAAATGTCAGCTATGTTCACAAAAAGGAAAAGTTTGTCCACCAATGACCATAAATTAATTAATCATTCTTAGCACTGTAAGCAGCTTTTCCAAAGAAAGGAGTTTTTTACACCATATAGATCAAATCAAAACAGGTGTGTAGGTTAAGGCCATTTCCTTTTACTCTGCTGATCACAAATTAATTGCCTTTTTGAGAATTATTTCTACAGAGGCTAGCCACTCCATTTAAAAAATGGTTAATATATCTGATTAAATGTGTAACAAAAATATTTTTATGGCAAATTTCATAATTTTTGTTGTGGGAAAAAACATAAATGCCTAAATAAGTATCTCATACATATATTTAAAACAAAAACAACCCTTAAGTGTATTCTATCTTCCATGGAGAATCAACAATCATTTCTTTTGGTGTATAGTTTTAAGATTATGCAACAAATGTTTACTCAAAAGAGGAATGAGGAATTTGTGTTAGTAATCGAGAAACAAAACCATCTAATACATAGCCAAGAAGTAAACTCTTTAAAGGGCATTTTGACTTTCCATGAATTGCACTGCCTCTAGTATAATATATTCTACCAACAAGGATGTTTTTGGCAATTATTTACCACATTGCCATCAACCAACACACTATCTCAGCACCCACTCATTTTTTGCCACGTCCCTACTTATTACAGGATTTAACAACCTTCACAAACCTTGTTTTTTTGTTGTTGTTGTTGTTTTGTTTTTTAACCTACAGCACCTCTTCTAATCACAGGTACCTGTGCTCACACAAATCAACAAAGTGGGTTCTCCTCCATGTCAACAAATCTTTGAAGCTCAAATAAACTTTTCATTAGAAGCAACATTCCACTAGATCTTTACGAATGTTCTCAGAACTGCTTAAGAGAATTTCATGCCAAACATCAAGACCAAAAAACTCTATCAGGCCAGTAAGCATTCATTCACACATTCATATTGACAATAGATTTTATACTTTTTTTTTCTTCTCTGCCCTTTGCAACAATTCCTTCTTCTTCCACAATTTCTCTTTCTCCTCTTCCTTTTCTCTTCTTCTGGCAGAAATTTCCATTTCCAGTCTTGCTACCTCTTCCTGGTGGGCTCGCCATTGAAGAACCTGAAATAAATAGAAAAACTTCATTCCAGTAACTATGCACACTGAAGTTATTTCACAGGTCATAATAAGACTAGGCTCTATATAAAGCAGATGTCAATTTTTTTTTCCAAATAAATGTTTAAATTCTATGTGCACATGACTGTGTGACATATCTGTGAAACGTGTGTGTATGTGTGTGGGTTAAAAGGAAAAAGCAACTTTAAAATCATGTCATTCAGAAATTCTTCACCGGGATTCATGGAGTGGGGTTCCTAAAGAATCTATGATTTAACTCCAAAGAATCTGTATATTCCCACAAATAGTAAGTAAAAATTTCTGGTTTTGCCCTTTTTTTTTTTCCAGAGGTTAAACAACTTTCAAAAATTCTCAATCCTAAAATGCTTAAAAGTTTAAGAATCTCTGCTATATTTCAGCTTTCTTGTTTTATAAGAATGGAAAGCAGGCCTGAGTTAAGATGAAAAACCACTGTAAGACACTTAGAACAACTTTCTGGGTACTGGTATGTGTTATTGGTAAAAGTATACTTGCTATAGCCTTTCTGTTGGGTATTAGGTTATATGTAAATATGTGTCACAATATAAAAAATGCATAGCCTTGATCTACAACTCTATTTCCAGAATATTATTTAAAGAAGACAATTAACTGGACAAGTGCACAAAAATGTACCCACAGGAGTGTGCACTACAGTGCTGTTTAAAACAGAAAAATCGAAAAAGTCTAAAGTCTGGCAAGGAGAAGGCTTAAATCAATTATGGTACTTTTATACAATGACTGCCATTAAAAGAGGATGCCATAACTCCATACTCATTGAAATAGAAAATATCCACAATATATTATTAGATGCAGAAAAGCAGATACAAAGCCACATTTGCAGTATGATCTCATTAATGTAAAATATCAACTATGTATCTATGCATAGAAAGAGATTTGGAAGGGGACTTACCAAATAATATTGGTTATCTCTGAATAGAATCATTTCCTGGGATTTAAAAAAATTATTCTTTAAACCTTTCTGTGCTGGGTGACATTTTTTCAATAAGTATTTATTATCCTTGTAAGCAGGAAACCAATGAAACTAATGAAATAAAAACAAATACTTACTGATCCATGTATATATCTGGCTAAGGAAGCAGACAGCAGGGAAATGTAGAGGTATGCAAAATTCTTTTTATATTAGCATTCCCAATTAAATACTTCATTTCTTACACATTTCATGTAAGCATCATTTATTAATGGTAATATATATGATGAAAATTAAATAAAATAATGTCATACAAATACAATTAAAGTGAGTCTAAACAATTAAGTTCATTTTGCAAAATTTTCATTTTCTAAAGTAATATTTTTCCTTGTTTATCAAAATAACCCAGGAAATTTCTACTCCTAGTTTTTAAACATCATTCAGTTTAGTCCACTTACTGCTTATCCTGTCCATCATATTGACCTTTTTCTTGGGAACCCCATTCCTAGAATACATCATCCCTGCTTCTGTTCTGACCTGCTTTCAAACCTTTCCTTTCTGTAATTTATCTTCCATCTTTCACTTGCTACAATTAAAATCAGTGTTCTGTCATCCCATCAAATATTACTAGTGATCTCCCCCTGAAATGCCCAAAAGATAGTTCTCTGTTCTCCATTCCTTGACCTCATGGTGATAGTTGACCCTGTTGACTATTGCTTCATGCTTAAAACTCTTTCCTGCCCCAGGTCATGACATTTCTCTCCCCTGTTTCTCTACCAACAGATACTGCTCTCTTCTTCCTGTTTCCTGTATCTACCTTATAATCCCAACCCTACATTATCCTCTCATTAACCTCCAACCTCTCTATCTATGTTCATTATCTGATGTGCTCATCCCCTTCTAGGAGTTCATTCTATGTTTCTGACCACAAAATTTATATTATCTGCTCTATCTTTTTGTCTGCAATTCAATCCTATATTAACAAATTCTTTAAGACTTAGCTATTTGTATGTGCACTTAAAATTCAACATTTCCAAAATTAAATTCAACATCTTTAACTTTGCCACAGCTTCACATCAAACCCTGTGCACCTGCTTCTCCTTTCCAAATATCCTGGTTTGGTCTATGGAACCACAAGTCACCATGTAGTTTGGATTTTTTTATTACTATGTATACACATCAACATGACTGTCTCTTTACATTTTATATCTGACTTGGAAGCTCATAAATTTCTTAAGCTCAGATGAATTTTTATTTATGACAAACTAATTCCAAACCATTGAGCTTGGTTGTAGTTCCCTAGTCCATCCAAAGTCTTTCTGCCAAAAGTGTTTAGAACAAGATCAGAAAGTTCAAAAGGATGATGTCAACTGATCAATATAGAATCTAAATAATTTAGTTTTCTCACTACCAACAAATGCCCCCCTTTGATGTTGCTAATACATAATCTCTAAGTAGTGTTCTTCCTCTGCCTTCCCTTATATGGCCATTCCTATTCCTAGCTCATGGAGTGACTCAAAGCACCCCCTGCTTGCAATTCCCTCAGATTTCCCCTTCTTCATAAAATACTCATGGTCCACATCTTCCTTGAAACATTCTACTGCCCATGCTTATCTCTCTTGTCTTATTTCACTGACCATACCATAACGGCTCTCTGAGTATGTTGGATATATTGTTGGTTTCCACTTAGAGCACAGTCCATGCATTTGCCTTCCCCTTATACTGCCTAGCAGAGTACTGGTGCATCATAGGTGCTCAATAATTAACTTTTATTCAATCCATCAAAATGAATATTTTAAATGAAGCCGGATAAATAAGAAAAAATGTTAGTATTAGAATATACCACTTTGCAACAACTCCTGTAATAATGGATCCTAGTTAATGATCATCAATGGCTGCTAAAAACTTCATATTAACAATTAATGGAAAACTTTATAATGAATGGATCAAGCTGGAAACAAACACATGGAATAATCTTAACATCACAGAGGAACAAGCAGACATTGTTCCTTCTTATGGAAGCATACAGCATTCCCATGAATTATTCTCGCCAAAAAATAAAATAGAATCTGATCAAAGCCCTAGACCTACCTATCAGGTTACAGGAAATTCAGCCAACAGAGAAACACATTATGCAATAGTATGTCAGAACACAATCCACAAAATTAAAATTTGTGAACACTCAAAGAACTTTAACAAATTACAAGGAAAAAATGAGGGAAGAACTATGAATTGAAAGAGATTTAATAAACATATTAGCCAAATACAATACGTGGTTTATATTTGGATTCTGATGTAAATAAACCAATGTAAAAAGAAATTATGAGATAATTAGAGCTATTTCAATACTGATTAGTTAGCTGATGCTATTGGTTAGTTGATGCTATTAAGGAAATATTGTTAAAGTTTTTAGGTATGATAATAGTATGGTTATGTTTTATAACTTTAGAGATATAGACTTTAATTTTAAAGCTAGATACTTAATACTAACAGATTACATGGTGCTTGTGAGTCTTACTATTATTTCAAGGGGCGGGAGGGAGTAGGTAAGAATATAGATAAAACAAACGTGACTAATGAATGGATAATGGTTGAAGTCAGGTGATGATAGACTTTTATAGGTTTTAAAAATTTTCCATACTAAAAAAGTATTGAAAAACAAAATAAACTGTAAAATATAATGCATATGCAAAGAGATTTATATAACAAAATACCGTAGTCTCAAGGTTCTGAGGCAGGGCCGAGACGGGCGGATCACGAGGTCAAGAGATCGAGACCATCCTGGCTAACACGGTGAAACCCCGTCTCTACTAAAAAATACAAAAAACTAGCCGGGCGAGGTGGTGGGCGCCTGTAGTCCCAGCTACTTGGGAGGCTGAGGCAGGAGAATGGCGTAAACCCGGGAGGTGGAGCTTGCAGTGAGCTGAGATCCAGCCTGGGCGACAGAGCGAGACTCTCTCAAAAAAAAAAAAAAAAAAAAAAGGTTCTGAGGCAGTAGAAAGGAAGTTTTGTAATACACTGAAATAGTGAAAAGAAAAATTCAGCCTTTCTGAGCACTGAGACTATTTTTATAAATTTTAATGGAAATAAGTTAGGACTTTAGAACTACTCTTCTCATTTTTTTATTTAAAACTAATGGGAACCATCATTGAATGACCTTTGCATATTATATGATGTCCTATGATTTAAAGAAGCAAAAGCATAAATCAAAATCTATAAATGAAAAAGATTTCTGTTTCCTAAGGCAAGTATAGCAAGAGAATAACCAGACCAATCAAACTGGTATAACCAGTTTACTCACCAATTTATTTAATTTACCATTCCCTGTCTTTGGCAAGTCTAAATGATGCTTCTTTACTCCAAAAAAAAAAAAAAGTGATAAAGTTATGTTGATTTTTAAACAGTGATGTACACACCAGAAAATCCTGAAACAGCGCAAATTCAACAACCAAAAGTCAATTTTATAACTTTAGAGATATAGACTTTAATTTTAAAATGGCTGTAAAAAAAAAAAAAAAAAAAAACAACCCTAGAGCAAAGCTTCAGCCTTCAGAAACTAAATTGCTTTTACTTAATATTGGAATCATGGGGATGATCAAGAACTCAAAGAATTTTACCGGAAGTCAATAATTCACAGCATTATTTCTAATTATAATGCTACCAGGAAAAAAAGGGGGGGTAAAGGAAAGAACGTTGTCGGAAGCTAGAGTGGTGAGATCTTGACAATGAGAAACAAGCTCAGCAGCAATTGCTATGTAAGCAATAAGGCAAAACAGCTTTTCAGAATGCACACTGGATAAGATGAAGAATCTGGTAGCCATTGAAATAATCCTTATCCAATGGATCCTCACAGAGATAGGCAAGGGATGTGAATGGCTCCCATGTGGAGAGAATGACAAACAATTATGGTATTTTCAAGACGCCTAAGGATAAGAAAGCTGGCAGGTGGGCAAAGGAATCAATACTAGTACAATAGACTAAAGCACAGAAGACTCTGAGTGAACATTGAGCAAAAGGAAGAATAGCACAGAAGAACATT